CATGCAGAGCCTGTAGGAGGTTTGTAGAGAACTCCGGGGGAGGGGGCTGGGGGGGAAACATTGAGCAAAAAATGGCCCATTTTTCGCTCATTTCTACCCTCCCCAGCCACCAGGACCACTCTGAAAGCCTCCTACAGGCTCTGCATGGCCATTTTGGTGAAGGGGTGGGGTTTGGGAGCCAAACAAACGCTGTATTCAATGTATAAGATGCCCCCAGATTTTCAGTCTCTTTTTTGAGGGAAAATGGTGGGTCTTATATTCCGAAAAATACGGTAACGAATCCAGCTGAATCAGTTATCTATGCGTGCTTTCTAGATTTGAATTTATGCAACAAACTCTGACAAGACGGTTGACAGCACCATTCCACATCATGTCCCTCCCATGACCAAAAGATAACTGAACAAACAACACAATTGAAGAAAGGCCATCGGTGAAACCTCAAGGAAAAGGTCTTACCTGCCATGGCTGTAACCCCTGGAGTAAAAGATGGCCTCCAACCCTCAATCTCCTCCTATTCAGTTGCAAAGAATAGGCAGCATTTAGGGCTCGGGATAATGCCTGGAGAGCATTGTAAATGCTGAAGGCATCTTCAGAGACGATTCTGAGCATCATTTCCCGATGTGCGACTTTCCACCTCTCCTTTTCTGTGAACCTTATCCAGAACTTTTTAGATAGCACAAGTCTTGAATAGAAGGGCAGAAATGCTGTTTTTGCAAGCTTTTCGATATTAACCGTGTCTAACTTAAAACTATGATAAGGAGCTTTTTTTCGGGCCAGAGTTGAAAAGGATAACAAAACATGTTTATGATAGAGATTAACATGTTTATAGAACAATCTGATCCCTATGTCTGTCAAGGCAGTGACAATCCACACTTTCTCCCCAAATCCTTTTGGATGATATTCAAATTTCGGAATCAAAGATGCTAAGAAGATGGAGGCTTGTAAGTCCAAATAACATACAAAAACCTTTACTTCACTGTGAGCATAATGAAGGAATTTCCTAATTTTCCTCTCTTTATCTTGCAATGGGATGCTTTGTGAGAAAGCGACACAAACCCCCCTTTTTATAGCTGCAAGCGCAAAAGAATTTTTAAACTTTTCCCCATCTTCATTGTCTGGAGCAAAGAGGCCGATCCACGTCCATCGGAAATGCAGAAGCAATTTGATTGTTGCTAAGTGAGGAGGTTCTTGCGTTGGGTTGATCCGATAGGAGAAAGGAAACTGATGTTTCTCCTTGGGAATCTGGTTGATAAGCCCGTAGGTGATCTAGGATAAAACAGAGAAGGTGTTTTCTTCTTAGGCACAAGGAGGAGTACAAAAATCTAAGGGCCTTTCCCCTTTGGAGGAGAATTATTTTTCTCTGTCCTTGAATTTCAAGCATGAATTGAGGTCTCTCTTGTCTTTTCTATGTTGACAGTCAGACCTGATTTCCCTCCAAGGGAAAGGAAAAATATGTCATTTTTAACACTCCTTGAGTTTAGCAATAGCAATAGCACTTTGACTTACATACTGCTTCACAGTGCTTTTACAGCCTTCTCTAAGCAGTTTACAGAGTCAGCATATTGCCCCNTCATGCCAGCCTGATAATAGTCATGGCAATGCTTTAGAAGTTGACAAACTGGTTCACTGAGCATGCACTTCACCGAAACAGGTCCGAACCGGTAGAATCCCACCCCTGCTTTAATCCCTTGTTTTGTGGTGGAGTTAGGGTGACTGAGCTGAGAGTTTACTGGCTGGATGCCCTTCCTGATGCCTAGGTGAAGTATGCAGCAGACATTTTCTATAAAGAAACATCTGCTGCTACCTAGGCTTGAACTCTCAACCTTCTGAGTGGGAGGCAAGCATCTTCACTGCATCACTGAGAAGGAAACATGCTAATATTGGGGTGCATATAAAAAGATGTTCAGCTCCAGCATTTTCCTTCCTGAAAATTCTCAGTTGTACCATTTCACTTTCCATCCCTACACTTTGTGTAGATGTCTCTGTAACATGTCTCACAGGGCTATAAAAGCACTGTGAAGTGGTATACAAGTCTAAGTGCTACTGCAATTAATTAGAACAATTAATCAGTGGAACAGAATTTGCCTCCAGAAGTTGTGAATGTTCCAACACTGGAAGTCTTTAAGAAGATGTTGGATAGCCATTTGTCTAAAACGGTGTAGGATTTCCTGCCTAGGCAGGGGGTTGGACTAGAAGACCTCCAAGGTCCCGTCCAACTCTGCTATTGTACTGTGTTGTATTGTATTGCTATTTTTTGCATGGGGAAAATCTCAGATTCATCTTATGCTACTTCTGTATCCATTTAAGCTTCAATATACTCTTGGAAAAATAAATGGCTAGAGTATTTCTTTGCTAGATGACTGAGACATGTCAGAGTATGAATATTCATGGCTGGAATAGATCAGCCAATGGGGACTGAATTGAGATGTGATAACAAGGTCAGCCAATGAATAGGCATAGCAACGAAGTCAGCCAATGGGAACTTAAACAGATCTGAGTCTGTGCAGAGAATTGAAACAGAAACTTAAGCAATCTGCTGCTCTGAGAAGTAAACTAGCAGTCTGTCTGGGCTTGTCTGCTGATATGAAACTAATGACTTGTGCTTGCCTGTAACTCTCCTGCCTTGTGTTTACTTGGAAGAACCACCTGTTGGTATTGTCCGTTTATTCATCTCTTCTTAACGTATATAAAGAAGTTAATC